CAAGTTCTTTGCCACTATCCAGTTTAAATCCCCCGAAAATTGTTTGTCCAGCAAAAATTTTGACAGGATTGAACAGAAATTATGAGAAGGGATTCCTTTAAACCAGGACTACATATATACCCACAGGTAAATCAAAATTATAAAAACCACTTGAAATATTATGAAGTAAATATTGTTCAGATATTGAGATTAAAAATGAGAATGTATTCACAAAAATATGCTTTCAAAAACAATTCATTTTGGAATGTCACCTAATTGAAAAATTTGAAAACTACTCACTGCTGTGGAATGTTATGATAGCCGAGTATGTGGAACAGTGGCAAAAGCAAAATATACTAGACTTGAATTGATTTTGATCACACAATCTCAAAGACAAAAGTTGTGCAAGGGGGCACTAAGCATATTGATGGTGGTAGATAACAATTATAAAGTAGGTATCAAAGAACAAATGATATAATTTAGACAGTTACATTATCTAGACAGGGCGGAGAACTACATGAAAGTGAATGAGCAAACTCGTAACATGAGAGGCATGATGCTCAAAGGTTAAGTATGAGTCATGCTAAATCCTAACAACCAAATGGTTCTGTTACCAAATCATAAGCTGACCCAAGCAAAACCAATTTCGAAAACACACACTGAAACAATCACAGGAAACCCACCCACATGTCCAAAGCTTGCTGTCATGCCATGACACTTGTTATGTTATTGTTGAAAATGACAACTCAGGGCAATTGCTAAACCAAAGGCACAGACAGAGTACACAAATATTTCCTACCTTCCCCGGGGTAGAATTCTCCATAGTTCCACATTTCTTGGTCCATGGACATGTCACTTCCATAACCTGGATGATTTGTCAAATCATCACAGGGCCCCTGTTGGCAAGATAGTCTAGGGTCCATTGCCGGACTCGGTGAGACACCCTTAACCTCTCAAGGTCTTCAGTCTTGGGATGTCGTGCGTCCGAAGAGCTTCTGATCACTGCACAGCCGCGATGCACACTTCATATGTGGGACATACGGTAAATACAGCACTAACTTACCGGTCGGGCTATAAGTGTCACAGCCCTGACCGGACTACCTTCAACACCGCACACTTACCAAACTACAAGGTTAAATGAATGATGAAGGATACGCGTTAGGAGGGTATCGGGAAAATCCTTGGTTCTGTCCACCTTGATGTTTTCCCTTTTGCATGCTCATCGCAACGTGTTTGATAATACGCTTAGAGTCCTCATAGAGGGACCTGCGTTTTGTTATAAATACAATTTATCTTCCAATGCGGAAAGAACGACACACGAACTTAGAACCTTAAATCTTTCTTATCCCGTTTCGTAATCATTTTTGTACGAAATATTGCGTAAATCATGCAGATGATTACGGATATATACGTGTTATAACCACTTTCACAACACTTTTCCTAGGATTTCAAGAATATGCCTTCGTGAATTTCCGTGAAATATTCGGGTGCTGTCGACAGCTCAAACATGGCGGCCGCACAAAAACAAAAGGCGTACGATACTGGTTGCGAGCATGGTAGATGTTAAGAGACTGAATGGTTTATTCGGTTTATTGTTACAACATGATCTGTTATTACAAGGTTAACGGACAGGTATGCTACTTCGTTATTTGACTTGTTTTAGTCATGAAAAGGTGTGTGTTATTGAACTCAACATGCCCCTCTTTAAAACAACTAAGAGTCCGACGTTCCCTTGTCACCGACTTTCGCGCCGTTCGCGCCGTTTTGTCTGGTCCATTCCATTCCAGAAGAAGCACAACAGACGACAGCGGTGTTTGGGCCAGCTAAAGTTTTCTCATGGCATTGTTTTTTTTTTTTCTAGTTCTAGGCATCTAAATAGGCTAGTTCTAGAAGGGTTTTGACTTTCAAAACGTGCATCATGTGCATTAAAGCTCATTTTCTTCTCGATTCTCATCTTTGGCATTTTTGTGTTTTCATGCCGTGCTGATTTACAGAAGGCGGAGTGTGAAGAGGATGGAGGAGGGAAAACAAATATGGCGTCGCTCCTGTATATTTCAGAATATTAGGTATGTTATATTTTATACTCGTTTTGTTTTGAGCTCAAAAGATAAAAACAAGCTTCCTCAATGGAGAAAATTCCATTTTACTATACTCTCAATCGGTTTGAACTGCACCTTACTCTCCATTGTATAGTGCTTGTCGTCTACGTAAATCTTCAACCGGCGCCATAACCTAAACTTTTGTTATATTTATTATGTCAACAAATAAACATACCCCACTTTTTCTAGAAGGATTGTCTTTGGAATACTTCATGCCGTAAATAATGGTGGCTAATTTTAAATCTGTCCACAGGTTTTAGCTACCGTTGGATTTTCTGTCTGAGATTTGAGAATTTTCAAATTATTGTATGTATACGGGACACAATCCCAGCTGAACACTACAATGGCTAGCAGTGGTGCGACTCCGGAACCTAGTACTAGTACTACAGATGATGCTGCCAGAACTGGAATAGGAGTTGTTGGTAGTCCTGCTGGAAATCAAAGTGAACAGCCTGTGCGCCCTAACAACCATGTACAGCGCATTCAACTTCGAAAGAAACAAGTTTCCAACTGGCCTCACAGTAAAAAGCTTTTAAAGTTAGCAATCTATTCAGCATGCCAGGTAATTTTTGAAATTAGCTTTTAATTTCTTCCATGGTTTTGCCTTCTCTGGTGTATATTTTTAACATTTTACATCCACAGGGTGACAGTTGTAAATGTAATGGATGGAAAGCTCCAACTCCTCCTGCTCGTTCACCACGTGCCGATTCAACACAGCCTTTGGCTAATTTCACAGATCCATGTCGATGCTGTACTCATGACCTACGTAAGTCTGAACTCTTGCCATATATGTTTACTTGTTTTTCTCTCATGTTATTATTGTTATGTTTAAGTTTAATCTACTCATTGTACTACAATTGTGATTTGTATTTGATTGTACAGGCTCTCATGTTACTCATTTAGAATCTATTGATGAAAATGATCTAAATAAATTATTGGGTATGGTGGTTGATGTGGAAAATATATTTATGGCAATGCACAAAGAAGAAGATGAAGAGACCAAAAGAGTTTATTTTTATCTATTCAAGGTTTGTTGAAATTTTAATGGTCCTGTAATGTTTTATAAGATGTGACTTAAGGTAGAAGGGTGTTTCACACTTTTGAAAATGAGATTAGTATCAATGCTGAGGCATTCAAGATTCATCATTCACTTGTACTTCACTATGCTCTCAAACTATTCTAATTTTTATTTATGACTTATAATTTTACAGTTATTAAGGAAATGTATAATGGCAAACACTACTCCTACAACATCAGAAGGACCTTTAGGACAACCTCCCTTTGAAACTCCTAGCATTCACCGTGCTGTTTCCAATTTTGTTTTGTTGAAGTATGCCCATGCCACTCAGAGGGTGAGTCATTACTCTGCTCTACATTCTTTTAATAAATTTTAAATCAATCAATTTCTTTCTATTATCCTGAATATTCCAGGAATATTCCACTATGTCCGACTTGGCTAAAATGTTTTTGCATTGCCTAAACCATTGGAATTTTGAGGCTCCAAGTGTCAAGAAGAATACTTTGTCAACTGAAGACTTTAGCCTCTATAAAATTCATTATACAAGGTAAAGAGTCTGTTCTCACCTGTTAAGCTCTTTGTGCCTCCTGCTTTAAAAAGTAATTTTTATCACTTATTTGACTTTACAGGTGGCTTGTCTTTTGTCACATTCCTGCATTTTGTGACTCTTTCCCTCATTCGGAAACTACACAAGTTTTTGGACGGTCATTGCTCAGATATGTATTTAAGTCTGTTAAAAGGCAACTGAAAGAAAAAATTAAAAATGAGAAGAATCGCATGCCACATGAGAAACGTTACCTCCTTTTGAATAACTTTCCAAGGTAATGGTGTTGCTTCTTTTATCCACATTTTTATAGCCTTCTATTTTTAGCTAATTAGTTTTTCTCCATAAGGTTTCTGGCTCAGCTAGAGGAAGAAATTTATGCTGTAAGTTCACCCATTTGGGATGTTGATTTCAAACATGAACTTCCTGCACATTTACAACATTTACAACCTCATGATCCTAAAGGTAAGTTCACTTAGTTCTCATTGTTAAATAGACATTTTCATCTGCAATTGTAATTTGCTTGTGTCATGTTTCCATGATATTTCTTTCTCTCAGTTGTAATGGGTGTACGAAGACCAGGAGAATTTGAGAAATTAATGGTTATGCCAAACGACAAGGAACAATTTACGACAATTAACTTAACTCCTGGAATTGGCAAAAAGCATGGAAGACCTGAAACTGGGTAAACTTTATAGCTTCAATATTTCTATATTAAAATTCTGTCCTTCTTCAAACTCTTACATCCCAATGTTCACATTTAGAGCTGCTTTGGAGCCTCATGCTAAACGAGCAAGAATAGAGGATAGCTGTGATGATGTTTCCGATCAGACAATTGCTCAAATCATTGCAACTATAAATGATCCTAGCTGCATGGCTGGACCTGAGGTAAATAAATCTAACATTTAAAATTTTTCTCTTAGAATATATTTTTAGATGTTCCAGTTACTTTTATTCCTAGTTATTGTTCTTTGTAACAGGCTGTTTTCCCAGAGAACGCACCTCGAGACGCAGCAGTCAAGGTAGAAGAATCTAAAGGATTAATACGATTTCATGTTGTTGGTAACTCACTGTCACAATCTGTGTCCAAGCAAACTATGCTATGGCTGATTGCCCTTCAAAATGTATTTTCACACCAACTACCACGTATGCCTAAGGAATATATAACAAGACTTGTCTTTGATCCGTATGTAAAATCAGTAAATTCTATATTTCCAACAGACTGAACAAATCATACTTAGACAAAAATATCTATCTTCTAATTTGAAAAATTATCTCTTTAGGAAGCACAGAACTTTGGCTTTAATAAAGGACAATCGGGCTATTGGAGGTATATGCTTCCGCATGTTTCCAGAACAAGGATTTACTGAGATTGTCTTCCTTGCTGTAACTTCTAATGAGCAAGTAAAGGGGTACGGCACCCATCTCATGAATCATCTGAAAGATTACCACATACGAAAGAATGTGTTACATTTTTTGACTTTTGCTGATGAGTTTGCTATAGGTAAGCCAAAAATTAGGAAAGAACAAACAAGTTCTTTTCTAAGTCCATTATGTCCATTCCATGCATTTATTTAAATTCTGTATTTTTTCCTTCAACAAGGATATTTCAAAAAGCAAGGTTTCAGTAAGGACATTAGACTGCCTCGTGGATGTTACCAGGGTTACATTAAAGATTATGAAGGAGCCTCATTAATGCACTGTGAAATTGACCCCAGAATAGTCTACACAGAGTTTACTGCTGTAGTTCGCAAGCAGAAGGAGGTGAGTGTTAATGATAAAACTTTTCTTTCCCTCTGCTAGTTTTTCATCTTTGGACTTGTTTCATTATGTGTTGCAATTATTTTTTTTACCAGATTATTAAAAAGCTGATTGAGCAGCGACAGCAAGAAGTACAAAAAATACATCCGGGCTTGACATGTTTTCGAGATGGTGTCCGTAGTATTCCTGTTGAAAGTATCCCAGGTATCCTTGAAACTGGATGGAAACCTGCAGCACGGTCTACGCGTGCCTTGCAGCACTCACCAGAGGAAAGTCATGACCATGATACTCTACAACAAACATTACGTCAAGTCCTAAACACTGTAAGATCCTACTCAATTTTGTTCATTTAATTTGTATAAATTTAAGAGAGGTGAGAGAATTCTATCCTTCTGTCTCTTTATTTGTTATAGATTAAAGGCCATAGCTCTGCATGGCCATTTCTTAAGCCAGTGGACAAAAATGAGGTACCTGATTATTATGAACACATCAAGTATCCCATGGGTGAGCCATCTGTTTTTATTTATGTTTGATTCAAAAGTTATCTACCTACCTTTTATTTAGAATCCTAATAATGGATTTTTGTGAACTTTTTCTTGCAGATCTAAAAACTATGGCAGATCGTCTGAAATCTCACTACTACACTACACGACGATTGTTCATAGCTGACATGACCAGAATATTCACCAACTGTCGTCTCTATAATTCTCCAGACACTGAGTACTATAGATGTGCCACAGTCTTAGAAAAATATTTTCAAACCAAAATGAAGGAGTTAGGGTTATGGGATAAATAAGGTTTGAAACAACAATCTTTGTAATATATCTAACGTAAATCAATGAAATTATGAGATTTTTACGGTGTAAATAGAGTGATTTTTTTTGTTGACTTTTGTTATTCATAAACTCAGTTAATCAAAGTGTTTCTTGTTTATGAAGTGTTTGACCTTAGAATATTTATTTGTATGTGGCCCAATGACTGTGCAATCCTGCTTTTGTTTAAGTTTTTAGATTGTATCTAGGTTCTTTTTTTTCTTTTTTTTTTCTTTTGTGAATACTGTAGGTACCCGTCTATAAATCTCTGCACATTTGTTCTTTTCTAATTTTTCTCTGAAGTTATTCATACTTTTCATCAATGTTCAGTTGTTGTGCATATCTAGTCACCAAATTGACATTTTCAACTAAATGTTTTTTAACCTCTTTCTATCTAATCTATCCGTCTCCTGTGAAATGGTTTTGATTTTGTTTTATCCATGCATCAAAAATGAGATTTTTGAGGGAATTTAAAATGTCAAATGCTGTTATGTTTAATTTTGTTTTGTGATCCTTGATGAGCAAAACTTCATTAGATACCAAATGTATATGAAATTTGGTTTCTTCAAAAGTTAAAATTAAAATGTGCAGATTGAATGCAGTACTCAACTTTCCTGTACTCAAAAGCTTGCTAGTTCATTCATTGATTGATATACTGCAATTATTACATTTAATACCTAGATGTTATTTGATAAAATTTGATTTTTAGAAGAGAGAGATGACAATATTTTTCATGCAAATTCTATATTACTATTTGTAAATAATCTGAATTGTATATGTACATATAATCACAAGTCATGAATTAAAACTTGAGACCATGTAGAAGCTTAAATAATATTGATTTGGTACCCTTACACATTCTTTCAAGTTTGGCATAATTTCATGATTTTATTAAACGCTGTTAACTCTATTAGAGTAAATGGCTGTAAGCTCGGTCCACAATATAGTCTTGTAAATCATATGAGTCGGCATGGGCCCGTATGGGGTTTGGGGCAATACAGTTACCAAACTGTTGAGTAGTGCATAGATAGAAGGTGCACTTCCGGAGTACTTCTGTGCTGGACTGCTTCTTGGTATTCTATGGGCACAAAAGTGTACTTCACTTCATGTGTCATCCAGAAATTACGTCTGTCATTCGCCGCTACGATCATCCCATGTTCACCCCTATGCAAGCTCTTATAGCGCCTGGTGGGTAGGCGATATCCTGCCTGCAACGCATGCGTGTACTGCGGGCTGGCCTACCCTGAGTCTCGCAGGCGCTAAGCCCCCGTAACTTACCGAATGTATCTGAGAAAAATGGACGTGCAGGAGGATGCCTGACAGAGAAAGAAGAATAGCGACTAGAACATACTGATTCCTGATTGGTCGATCCATAACCCCCACTGCCGCAGTGGCGTACAGGCGGGAAGCTCTCGACCAATCAGGAACGTGTATGGGCTTCTAACCCATTAATCTACCTTCGCTAGCTGAAGTACAATACTGATCTATGAGCTACGGTCAGTTAGCTAAAATTTATCGTAGACCAGGGTGTAATGTCAAACTAAAACAATTTTTTAATTTCGCTCGAAAATTTCCCTCTGGTGCCGTGCTCAGCTGTAAAAGGCGTGTCTCTAGTCGGGGAATCTTTCCGTGCCCATGTAAGGGCTTAGCGGCTGACCGGCCGGCACGGGCAGGCCAAGTGAGTTTGAGTGAGGGAGGGCAGCCGAGCGGGTGGGAGAAATGGGGAGAAGGAGCCGTGAATGACTTGTGGCAGGTCCCTCTAAGCATGGGCAATGTTACTGTTACTCGTTTCCCCAATGGCAGATCGGCCTCGACGAGCTCGGGGATTGAGAGAGCACTGTCGTGTGCTCAGGCTAAGGACCTCGTTCAGCGTACCCAACGGCTCCTGCTGCTTCACAAAAATGAGTTTCACTACACTCTCAATGGGAAAGAATTTGTTTTTACCCAGCAACTGTGCACATCTAGATACGATACGAAATTGTATCGAGGTGTAGACAAAATAAAGCATTTTTAACCTTGTCGCGATATATCTACCTTCTTTGTGAACACATTAGTATCTACTGAAGCTTAAGGGCACATCTAACCTAGGTAGGTACAACAATTGTCTCTCCGCATTTAGAGTGCACGCGACCGTTTTTGGCCGGCTCCGCTTGCCGTATGATGTAACCGCGCCGTTCGGCCCGGGCCCCCAGCAGCACTACTGCATCCACGCCACAAGGGCGGCGGCCCCATGGTGCAGAGCAAGCCCAGCCCGAGCCGCTCGACATGACACGCTCTCTACCACGCTCGGGGCGCACGGCGCAAGGCGAGCCAGAAGCACGCGTCTGCGTGCACCTCTCGACCATCCATTATTTCGAGCCGAAAAGCGAGGCTGGGTGAAGGGGGGAGGTGCAGGGCGGGGCGACACCTCGTCCGTCGGCCGCCGCCGCTCCAGCCACCGCGCTGGTCTAATGAGCGCGCCCTCACACGCACACACACACACACACACACACGTTGATTTTTATCGGACAGAAAATAAGAAAAATGGCAGATCCCGTGTGCAATTACTCCTGAGCGCGGCGTTGCGGGCGCGGGGGTGATCGCTCGGGCGTAGCGGCGCGGGCGGAGGGGGAGGTAGCTGCTCCCCCTCCGGTACCCTCCGGGCCGGACCGTCGGAACGTCTCTCTCTCTCTCTCTCTCTCTCTCTCTCCTCGGCGTGGCGGGCCTCACCGCGCCGGCCATACATGGCGCACGCCGTGTGTCACACGCAGTCCACTTGTCGCTCAACAAGGCTCTGGTCCTGAACGTGGCGCGGCGCGGCGCTTCCTGCGGGCGTGACCGCACAGCCCCGGCGGCGTGGCTGGGGACCTCTGGTGCTTCCTGAAGCACTGCCGCGACTGCCCGCCGCGCACACTCGTATGCTTCCGGAGCATCCAGCGGTGAGGCTA